GAGAGCCATCACAGAGAAGGCCCTTTTACTGATCCTACAAGATGTACCACCCTAATAGAAGAGACCCTCAGCATACCTTGCCTTGTTGCTCTGGTGGGCTGGGTAACCGAGGAGAGACAGTCCTTCAATAATTGGACCCCAAGCCATGTAGGGCTTTAAAGATGATAACCCAGTATTTTGAATTGCACTTGGAAGCAGATAAGTAACCAATGCAGCTCCTGCAAAAGAGATGTCACATGTTCAAATCTTGACTTGTGTAGAACTATGCTGCATTTTGAATCAACTGAAACTTCCAGATAATTTTCAAGAGCAGCCCTATGTAGGGTGCATTACAGTAGTCCAAACAGGAGGTTGTTAGGACATGACTGTGAGGAGATCCAGGAATGGCTTAACTGGCACACAACTTGCAATTGTGCAAGGCTCTCCTGGCCATGACTGCCACCTCTTCCTCAAGCAAGAGTTATGAGTCCAAAAGAATCTCCAGATTATGCACTGGGTCTATCTGAGACAATGCAATCCTATCTATGACCAACAATAGTCATTTTCCAAGAACCAAGGAGCTCCAAACCCAAAGGCTATTCTATCTTGCCAGGGTTCAGTTTTAGTGTGTTGCTCCCCATCCAAATCTCAAAGAGTTTTCGGGCACTGCAAAAGGGCAGTTGTAGCATCCCTTAATAACAATGTACAACTGAGTATCATTAGTATGCTGATGATATCTCACTCTATGTTGAGTGATTTCACCCAGCAGTTTCATGTAGATGTTAAACGGGAGCTGAGAGAACACCTATTTCTGTGGAAAATTAGGGGTTGAGAATTGGACCTCCCATAATCAAAACTGAGTGAAAACAGCCTCAGTGTAAGGAAGCATAAACAAATAACAATAAAAAGAAAAAGGTAAAGGTAAAAGATGAAAGAGAGTACAGTAGAGAGTAAAAATCAGTAGCGTAAGAAAAGACAGGAGAATTTAAAGACACAGAGGAAGAAACATCAATGTTACTTTGCCCTGCTCGTGTGTGACTCTGTCCAAACCATCTGTCTCCATCTCCCCCAAAAATATATTAAGGTATTAAACAAAAACTATGAAACAGGACCATGATGCTAATCACATAAAGTACCAGTAAATGGGTATGGTAACAAATGATTTCTGAGAGTGCTACATTCTCCACTTTTTGTTACTTTCTGTAAAAGAAATGGCTTACACCCAAGCAGATTGGCTGACAGTTTCAAAATGGGACAAGCACTTTTACCATGATTCATCCAGTGTTTTGCCTGTGCTGTTTCATTATTTTTCCTATGCCTCTGCTTTGTTTTCTAGTGTCCAGATAGGTAGCATCAATAGACATTGTGATGCTGGTGTGAATGTGGGTATGGATGGATACTTCACTTGGCTGTTGTAATTAGTGTTTAGGAGAGCCTACATCAGACATCTCACTGTGTAAAACGGGATGAAGAGAAAAGACAACGGGTCAGCTCCTTGTCTCTTTGGACTTCCTCCACATTCCTGCAATGTACCTGGGAATGGCTAGTCTAGTGAAGAGAAGGACCGGGGGAGATGTGATAGCAGTGTTCCAGTATTTGAGGGGCTTCCACAGAGAGGAAAGGGGTCAAGCTATTTTCCAAGGCAGCCAAAACCAGACTAGGAATAATGGATGGAAACTGATCACAGAGATTCAACCTAGAAATAAAGAGAAATTTTCTGACAGTGAGAACAATCAACCAATGGAACACCTTGCCCTCAGAAGTTGTGGGGGCGCCATCACTGGAGGCTTTTAAAAAGAGATTGGACTGTCATTTGTCAGAAATGGTGTAGGGCTTGGTTGGGCAAGGGGTTGGACTAAATGACCTACAGTACAAGGTCCCTTCCAATTCTATTCATCTGTTAAAACCTTCTTCCCATCCTTAAAACAGGAGGAAGGGCCATCCTTTGGGAAATTGTTGCACCTCAGAATCGAGGCTGGCAAAGTAGCTGTCCCTGTACAATGATGGGGGTAGAGATTCCTGCCAAAGCCTGGAACCCAGGCACATTTTGGTTGCCAGGCAAGACTGTTGTCTTTAATAGCCAATTTTAATAGAATGGAATGGAATGTTAGAACAGAGGTTGGTTCTTTCTCTTTCTTTCTTTCTTTCTTTCTTTCTTTCTTTCTTTCTTTCTTTCT